ACGATAAAAACTGCACGCCGCGGGAGAAGAAGAAGAAGAAGAAGTTTATATCTTCGGGGCGAAACGAAATCGTAACCCCTCGTTGCACCTCGAGCGTTAAACTTAATGGCACTCTGTTCCTTTTTATAATAAGAAGAAACGCGCGCTCTATTATTACCACCTGTGCATTATACCGGACGAACCACAAAGCGTGTTCGCCCCCATCCTTATTATTTTTGTTGATACCGGATCGATCGATTTCATTTTTATCGTGGCTGATAGGGTCGAGGCGATCACCCAACTTCGGAACATACTTTGCATTCTTTTTTTTTTGTTTTTGATTAAGTTTTTCTACGATCACTTTCAACTTGTTTTTACATCAAACTGTTTTATACGCTTTCTTTTGTCTATTAGAATTATCGATCGTAAAGGTACCTGTAAATCCCCATTAATAACGTAAACAAACAACAGTCGAAACGTCCAGCGTGTAATTATGGAATCTTAATGTACTCGTGTAACGAGACATGATCATGATAAATTATCGTCCGTATTTAAACACCTGTTAATTAACCAACAACCCAGATTTATATCCAGACGTTCTACTTTAACTGATTTATCGGTTCTACACCGTCTTGTATCCAATTGTACGGGGAAACACTGTCATTTAATATGAATGCAATTCAGATTTTCGCACTGCTCTGAAAACCATCACCAATCCTAAAATACAGTATATTTTATGAAAATAAAAACTATTGCGTGTGTCAAAAATTGAGAATTATGTACGGGGATAATCTTTCTAAAAGTATACTAAAACGGTTAAGAAATGCTGCGAGACGAACAACACGAGACGACACAAGACGAACGCTGTCATTTTACAAAGATATCGCGGTAATAAGTACATACGAGTTCCTACACTTTGTCGAAGAGGTCTCCTTTTGTTCTGCATATATGATCCGCCTATTGTGGCTCATCCAAGTGGGTAGTAGGTGGACTGTCCAATCTCCATAAGTGCTTCTGATATACTCGAACCACACGATGAAAGCACTTTCTTCTACCGATACTATAGTAATTCGACGTTATTAAAAATTAACCGTAAGGATGTTCTGATTGATGGCAATTTTCAAAACAGTACGATGATATAAATGACTATACGAGTCCCTCATGCCAGGTGAAATAACCGAAAGATTGTAAATAAATTACTCTACAAGTAATTGTGTTTGTATTTTTATACGTACTTACAGAGAACTAACAATTTTGTGAAGTTTATAACACATTATTCTCCTTAATTATTACACTTTATGTGAAAATACATGCCCCAGACAAAGTAAATAATATCGATATTCCTCAAAATGATTCTCTAAAGTATCCAACAAGGGACATCACCACGCCGTACTCTGATTTTTATAAAATATAGTATTCTTTTCAGCAGCTGATATTCACGCTTACCGAGTCGGAAAGCAGCTTAATTTAATATATTTTAAGATTGAGATTTGACGGAAGGTTAAAGCGAGAAAAACGCATAAATACCAAACGTAATCGACTCGAACCCGAAGGCGAAAAACTTGGCTGTCGTAGGAGGGTTAAGTATGTATATGATTCGCCGCGTCGTTTGCTTTGTCATCGCCAGGAAGGCATTATCCTTTGACACACCACCGCGCCCTTTTTACCCAAACGGAAGCCTTAGTCCTTCGAACCTAAAAAGAGCGGGTCGGATCGTTGATCGAGCAACCGCGTGGAAGCGAATTTTCGCGCGGGAGGCCATACGCCGCGTACTCGTTCGACGGTATCGATCGCCATTTTTGTCGTGCGGTTATCGTGCAGCTTAGCGGATTCTTTTTCAAGAGAGTTTCGAGGAAAGCGCGAGGGTGCAGGAGACCGCGGGACTGGTCTGAAAATCGCGTCGATTTTCGTCGAGTGGCGATATTGGTTCGCGCGTAGCCCTCGTACTTCGTTTCCGGTAGCTGGATTCTTCCAGCTATAGGGTGCACGTTCGGGTCACAGTTGGTGGGAATGAAAATTGTCGCGCACGTATCCGCGCCGAGTTCGGGATCGGTCCTCGAACAGCGATTCGAAATTACATCGGACCACCCTTGTCGCCACCGTTTTCGAATCTCGCGTCCGGCCACGTGTATCGAATGGCAAACATTATTTCGAATGTTTTCGTTGCCAGCCGCAGGCTAGTCGATTTCGCGACCAGGTTCGCGGCACGTTCGATTCCGTATAATTCGTAGCATAGCAAATTCACCGTACACCGACGGTTTCCAATTTTTTAAGAAGACCCACGAAAAAGGGACATTTTCGTGTTCGAGGTTTACAAACGGAACGGGGAAATTCGATACGCCTCGAATACGTAAATCGCCTCGAAATATGGGGTTTCTTATCAGACGTGACACGGAGTGCAAAAATTTGACGCTCAATTTAGTGACCCGTAAAATCAGTGGTTCGAAAGGTCACTAAATTGAGCGTTCTTCTTCTCCGTAGCACCTGATAAGAAACCTATATTTCAAAGCGATTTACGTATTCGAGACTTATCGAATGGTTATGAATTATTGTTCGCGGTATATTTAGACGATCTGCAATCTCATGAAATCGTGGATTTTCAGTGACTCGATGAGTTGCACTCAACTGTCTTAGTGCTTTTACTATTCGTATGAAAATTCAACTGTAAGATTAGTAGTTGATTATCCAGTGTACCTGTTAAGTTTAGTAAAATGTGTAGTCATACGAAATATAAATGTCATTCAATTAACACTAAACCTACCATCCGTTCAAATGACCGGTTGAACGATTTATATCTTTTTGTAAAATATCGAACAAAATTTGGTATAAAATTCTGAAATATACAGGGTGTTCGGCCACCCTTGAGAAAAGTTGTAATGGGGGATTCTAGAGACTAAAATAAGACGAAAATCAAGAATACCAATTTGTTGATGGAGGCTCCGTTTAGAAGTTATTAACATTTAAAGTTCCACCCGTACTGAATTTTTTCCCCGGAAATGCGCAAGATTTCGGGGGTATGTCTGTTCACCAAAAATGATTGCAATTGACCCCCGCAACCGAAAATAATTTTTGCAAAACGATTTGAAATTTTTCTTTTCCGTCGAAAAATTTCACACCTCGAATTTTTTTCTAGAAAGTGGGTAGGATTCCGGGGGTATGTGTAATGACCAAAAATAATTGCAATTAACCCCTGCAACCGAAAATAATTTTTTTAGAAAGATTTGAAAAATTTTTTTTTCGCCGAAAAATTTCAGCACCTACCCGATTTTTTTTCATGAAAATGGATAGGATTTCGAAGGTATATGTATTCACGAAAAATGATTGTAATTGACCCTCGCAACCGAAAATAATTTTTCCAGAACGATTTGAAATTTTTGAATTTAATTGTTAATAACTTTTTGACGAAGCCTCCATCAACAAATCGGTATTCTTAATTTTCGTCTTATTTTCGCCTCTAGAACCTCCCATTAAAATTTTTTCCAGGGGTGGCCGAACACCCTGTACAGGGGTTCGGCCATTGCTGATTTAAATGCGACTTGTGTTTAAGGTCGTTATTCCGATAAAAATTAAAATCCTCCAAAATCCCAAACTTATACCCTGTATAGGGAATATATTTATGAAATAGGAAATATAGTATAGCAAAGATGAAAGGAAAGAATCTTCAGTTTCCACTGTCTTAGAACAGTGTAACAACGCGTATTAAAAATAGTAAAATTTTAAACGCGTGCAGTTCTGAAGCCACCCATGATTTCTGCATAATTGAGCCACCGTTAGAAGCGGCAAAGCTTCCTCTTTAAAGTGGTTTTTGATTTATGTAGATCGGACTTTTCGTTTTGGAGATATCGTAATTTATGTAAAGGGATCATTTTTTTAATTTGACTATCTCTGTCTCCGTCTGACGCGTCGCGTCGTACCTCTTCGTCGCACGTGAGTCGAGACAGTCGCGTGACGCGGAAGTCGTAGTATTTCCAAGAATTTACTACGCGCTGTTTACTATTTACGCGCGCGCGCGGTCATTCGCCTCGCGTCAATGAAACGTAAACAAACGTTTCGAACCCTTCTATCTCCGGAACTGGCCACCGCATCGACTTGAAACAAAAATCGTCATATCTCCGGAACTAATTATGCTATCGACTTGTACGAACGCTCATTTTAAAGAGCATTTTATCCTCTATCCGATGACTATATCAACTGTTATTATTTATGCTGTCTTCTATGTTTATTTTGTCATTTACTTTCATGTTTTACAGGGTATTCATCCTAAGGGTAGATTTTTGAGGCATTCACATTAATCTGACAAAAAAATGTTTTCAATACATATTAACGACTACTTTCAGAAGAACAAAGTGGAATAATAAAAATTTCGAAAAATTTGCAACTCTGAGGTGTAAATGTACTCGCTGAGTTCGAGAAACTGTGAGGTCTGTATATATTTGCATACTAATAACATTTTATATATGAACCAGTTATAAAATACATTTATTATTCTGTGTATATAGTTTGTAAATTTTCAGTATGAAGTTCAAGTACTAAATATGCACATTTGGAGTAAAATAATTGAATATTTTTGTACGGATTTTTAAAATGCATGCTTCAAGAATAAAATATGTGACATAAAAGAGAAAGTATCTTACGAATAAACTTTAAAACACGACTCTCTATACATATAATGCAAAAAATTAGCCTTGGTTGGAATGGATATACACGAAGTGTCGGTAGGTTTAGTGTTAAACAAAAAAATTGAATTACGTTTCTCTGGTTAGAAAATTTCGTTCGTTCCAAGCTAAGATTGGAAAAATGCTGCAACAACGTTCCCAGCTTCTTTTGAATTGCCAGGGGAAACGAATTAAAGGCGACAGCATTGGGTTAGGTGCCTCGCCCCGGGTATTAGAAAATAATGAAACGCCCTCGAAGGTCCCGAAAGGACTGATTGGGCTCCGCCAGAAAGGAGCACAAAGAGGATCGTTTCTGACAGAGTAACCCAGTTCACCGAATAGAAGCGAATCGCGCAAAAGCCCTACCTTGGAAATGGGCAGAACAGCCTGGATATCGTCCTTCTGTATCTCAAGACGCGCTTGCAGCTTTCGTCTTTCGGCGTGATGGTGGTGATGGTGTTGCATCTGCCTCTGTTGCAACCTTTGCTGCAGCTGATCCATACCATTCAACTGGGAGCCGTTGTCCTCTTCGCCCTCAAAAGCGTAACGCACGCTCCACACGATCCGACCACCGTCCCAATTTCCCTCCACCCCTTCCTCGCTGGCTTCCAAAAGCATCGTCAGAATTTCCTCCGCCGATCTGGAAACAAAGCAAAACCGTTCACAGCGACAAGGCCCTTGTTACTGCTCGTAAACTGTCCCGCAACGGTGGATCTCGTTTCGAAAACTGACGAAAACAACATTCGGACCAGCGATTTTCCAACCGGTGTGTCGCGAGTTTATAATGGAATGTTACTAAGGTAACGTTCCCATTAGCGACCCTTTACTCACTACGTTTTGTTCAAAGCAATAGCAAGACTACGTCCTACGAAAGCTGCGAATATTATACTTGGATGTATATTATTTGTTATTTCACACGTTATTTCTTTTGTTAGTACATTCCAGTTATTTTGGTAAATATCAGTTTTTAAACCCATATTATTTTACAGTCCTTTACCCAGTTTTACGCACCCCTTCCAGTAGCAGAGTGAAATTTCATACGTTACTTTGCGAAAAAGTAGAGCAAACTAATGATAACAGTGTATGTTTATACTCTAGAATTTTTGTTCGATCCTTTTATAAAACAGTTTTCAAGTCACTTAGGTGGACCACTTTTATCTCTGACTGTATTTTATATCGTACATTTACAATTCGTCTAAAATTGTTTAAAAAGTATTACCAGTTAATGAAATCTAGATGAAAATCGAGGCCCTTGTAGAAGGGAAGTAACATTAATAAATATGTAGAAAATTTGAATATATTATTTCCGCGTTGACTGCCAAACCGATTTCATAAAACGTGTCTCGCCACGACCCTAGCTTTTTTCCATGATTTATGCTTTTAAACCCGTACCTACGTTTTTACCAATTTGACCAAAAGCTTCTACAGAGGCCATGCTTTAAAATATCACGCCGCAGTAACCGAAACATTAGTATCATACATGTATGCATGACGTGACGTTCAACCTTTTAAATAAATGGATTTCACTGACTACCGCATACGTAGCCGGATTCTTCGTGCAAAAATTCACAATTTTCGAATTTAAACCCTTTTCCCTACGCGTAACAGTTTCCGATACATCGGTGCAAATAGATTTTTCATCCAAAATTTTTATAGCTATTTTCACCGGTACAGTGTATACTTTTGTTGATAGAAAAAAGTACACGTCGAGTGTTTGTGCAAGAACTACCACGCGAAAAAGTTTCATTAAAATCGGATGTTGCCACGCGGGGCTAATCCTTTATTATTATATCCTATAACATCGGGCACAAAACCATATTGTTTAAGCAGACATTGTTCTATTTTCCTTTTTTACTTTTTGTCATGCGAAATTTTGTTACTTACACATTATTTTTTGAAGCCATATTTGTGTGGATATTCAAAAATTAAGGACACCAAAATACTCCTTATTTTTAAAAGAGTTTTGGTAGTTTGAAGTTTGGAAAATTGTGACTAATATTAAAAAAAATTTATTTAAAGGAGACAATGTTGCTTAGAATATCTACGTTTTCTTCTAAATATTTCACACTTTATTGCCTCGTACATACCATAAAAAATTATGCTTTTAGAAATTCATTTTCCATTATCCAAAAATAAATAAAAATAAATATAACGATAGTACTCAATAAAAACAATAATTTGATAAAAATACTTGTAAGATGTGGTCGATTGTGATGGATTTCTGAATTCACGCAAAAGCGACGGAAGTCTATAATCGTCAGATTTGTGAACTCAGACGGAAGGTTCACCGTTAATAGCAGAGAAATGGGACACCGTCGTCTCGTTCGAAGTTTGTTCGTCGATCAGTGATCCAAGCTCGGCCACGTTGACGAATCCCATGGTACGAGGACGGCGTCTGACGGTAAATTGCACGTCTCTCGTCGAAACGAGAGACGCAGGGGCCGTGTAATTGGATCCAACAGGAAAAATCAAGTGCAAGAGGAAACGTTCGAGTTTATCCGCTTAAATAGTCGCGGCCAGACGGGGCGAAGGCAACGTCGCGACGTCGAAACGTCGTTACGTCGACTGTTTGTCGAGGTTCGAGAAGCTAACGAGAATTTCAACGATTAGCGAGAACGATAAATTCGCGACGAGGGTAAGTTTCCAGTTTACAAATGGCTGGTGTTACGTTAACGCGAACGCAACACGTTGCGCTGTAACATCACGGGTGTTCCGTTGCGCCATGTACATCGAAGAATTACGAGAACCTGAGCAAATAACTGGCAAGGGAAGCATAGGACACGGATCGTACCGATTTCAACGACATTTTGGCAGAATGGCGCGTCTATATTTACAATAAACGTATCTATAATTTTAGCTGTTGACGTAGAGAAAATTAGATGTGATGTTTTTATCATTTGTTACGAGCGCGAGATCCTGGATTCGATCGGTGATTTTAGGTATGGTTAGGAAAGAGAAAGGAGTTCCGGACGAACCAGGGGCTCTATACCCTGGGAGCCGTAGGAGGAGGTTACGTGGATGAACCAGGGGCTCTATACCCTAGAAGGGTATAGATTTATAAGGAAAATGTATGGTTTCACGGACGAACCAGGGGTTCTATACCCTGGGAGCCACGTAGATTTTTAGGATGTTTTTAAGACCTTGCTCTATTGTAATGATACACCTCGAGCGGTAAAGGTGTACCAGGTTCGTGAGATACCCCTAGTCTTACTGTTAATAGGGTTCAGGGTTGTATTAAGTGAATAATGCAAGTGAGGGTAACTACTTGAATATATCTAAGACAAAGCATAATATCAAGGACTTTCCAGGAAAATAACCCAAAATGTGTTGCTCTAAAGAAAGAGGTAATAATTTACACATGACGTATGTATATACAATATTTACAGATATGCAAAATGTTTACTAATTACCTAAAGAAAGAGAAACGACAATTAAAGTCTATTCTCCTCACTTACTCCTAGACCTATTATTTTATTTATTGCTAATTATCCATCACTTAAATCATTGTGCTCTCACTCTATACTTTTTATTCCTCTCGTTGAGTATCGATATATATTGAGCGCGCTGAGCTAATAAAGCACGGCTAACCTGAATTAAAGAAAGTATTCTTCCTTTATATTCTAGTGGATGCTCAAGTACAATGGTCAATTAAAGGAACTAGTACTATTGCTAGGTTGCCTTGACGGCGAAAGTTCTGTGTTGGCTTTTACGCGGCGCGTTCGCGGGAGCTACTTCTCGATTAGACTAATGAACACTCACTAATGAAACCGCTAAGGTAGGTACGTTGCTTGATGGGGATTATAGCCGGATCTTGTCTCGAGTGTCAAAGTAACGCTGTGTCGAGAGTTTTAGAAAAACTGAGCTCTTCGAGTAAGAAAACGCGGTCCTTATACGAGGTCTGGTCAAAAAGTAACCGAACTTTTTTAGTTGTGTGTGTGTGTATTGTCATAGCAACGAACAGTTGACAGCACTGCAATTGTCATAATTAGATTGCGGATCTTTATGCAAATTCACACTTTTATTAATAAAATTAATGAAACGGAAGCTTCGCAGAGGGCTGTCTCAACCCCTAAATATAATAATTCGTATCTTACTTTAAGTATTTCTTATATTTTTGCATATTAAATGCATTCTGTAGTTTTTTGAGGATTAAAATTTCCCATAAATGCATAAACATCCGCAGTCTAGTCATAATCTTCCGCGTAACTGACTTTTTTACAAATTGTTTACATCTTGTTTAGTTTCCGAGTTATTGCTATTTGAGTGCAACGTGCTTTTGAAATTTTGCGTAAAATTGGGGAAAACATTCACGGAATTGTTTGAACTTTTGAAGCAAGCTTACGGAAGTGATGCTTTTTCTCGTACGCAGCGTTACGAATGGTTCACCAGATTTAAAAATGGTCGTCAATCGATTGAAGATGATCCTCGATCTCGAAGGCCTTCGACTTCAACTGATGACATTCACATTCAGAAAATCAAAGATCTTGTGTGTATTGACTGTCGTCTGACTGTCAGAGAACTTGCAGAAGAAGTTGGAGTATCAATTGGGTCATGTCATGAGATTTTTACCGAAAAGGACGCCGTTTTGACTCAATTGAGGACATTAAGAAAAATTCGTCACAGGCATTGAAAAATGTTCCAAAAGAAGCTTTCCAGGAATGCACCGTAAAATGGAAACATTGCTGGAACAAATGTGTTAATAGAGGAGGGGAGTACTTTGAAGGAGACAAAGAGCAATAAGTTGTACATTAAATAAAAAAATTTTTTTTAAATAGTTCAGTTATTTTTTTAACAGACGTCGTATACTAGAAATTGAGCCCTTACCATTACCATTAACATAATTACGCATTACCATACGACATGAGTCAACCCTGTACGGGGTTGTTCGCTAGATCATCGGGCCAACGCCCAAACTACCAAACGTTTCGGTCCCATACATGAATGATATGTAACACATTTTAAAAATCATTTAAATTTCCTTTTAGTTTCATATGATTTATTATTACGCGTCAAATAGTGACCAATCGTCTTGACCTGATTGATAACCGTATACCGTCATAGAAAACATGTTTTTATTTCTTGTAAATTTTTGCAATTTGTTTCCGAAGATTACCGAAGTCTCGAAGCCTTTCAAATGAATTTTCTTTCAAATTTAGTAAATCACAATTTACGATTCGCTGCTTACGCGCCCCGTTGGAGGACAAGCGTTTATTCCTGACGAATTTGCGAGTCAGAATAGCCGTGCTCGCAGACGGTTTCGACAAAATTGAAGAGCAGGAACGTCTAGCCGAAGATCCTTCGGAGTTCAAGGATCACGAAATCGTGAAACTCGGTGGGAGAATCCTGGCACCCCATCGCGATGGAAATTCAAGGATTCAAGGAGGACGAAGAGGGGATTAATGGAAACAGTTCGGGAGTCGTTCTGACTTACTCTTAAAAACAGAAGTTTCGTTTTTTTCTTTTCGTTGCAAAGCTTCGCTCAAGTTGCGAAACGGATCGACGGTTTTCGTTTCGCGCAGTTCGATGATATTCCGTTTGAGATAAAATCGCTAGAAATCGAGGGAAGCGAGGAACCGTGAACGAAATTAAACAGGGAATTTTTCGCCGTTTCCCGAGGAAAGGAATCCGAATTAAACCAGTTGAAGGCAATACCAATGGCTGCAAAAGCGCCGGGATCGAAAATGGAATGAGATCGAAGGGAAATAGAAGCGAAAGGAAACTGGAATACAATTAGTAGGAGGAAGGTAATTCTCGAATCGACATTATTTGCTCTCGCTTTAAGCTTCTGATACAGCGGATCGCAATATATTTTTATTCTGATAAGGTTTCGTTTAAATTGAATCGTGTATTTCTTTCAGATGGATCGATACTTCTTATCGGCCCGTATAATGGAGGTAACTTGAGTTTTCTAACAACGACGTCCCTTCTAGTTATATTTTATTTTCATGTATTGCGTTTACCGGAAAGTTCTGCTTATTTTCTGCCCAAGAGAAAATAATAAATTTGTATACTAATGTTAACAAGAAGTAATTGTACCATAAAAAAATAATAATGAAAATATTGGAATAGATTCAAATTTCTTGCTGTTATATTTTGAGAAACAAAACAACCAGGTCCAAACAATAGACAAAGCTTCGATTCCTAAGAGTGATTTTTATGAAAGATTAATTTTTTAACGATGCTTTAAACGTACAATATTCTTTTGAAATGCTTGAAATAAACGAAACCCAATATTTGTACACTTTTATATAACTGTTACTGTCGTTAGAAATATTATACAATTAAAAGTACGCTATCGAGTATTTTTATTTTTCACGACGTAACATTGATAAAAGGTATACTTTACGTCGTTATATTTGCTTCTTGAACGGTTCTCTTGAATACTCGTAAGCAACAAAGCAGAAGATTTGGCAGAAAAAGTGATGCTCGATTCCAGGAACGATTGCGATGCCTTTAAAGCGACGTTTTATTGGGTCATAGGTCTCGATGCCACGTATTTTCTCGATCTGTGATTCAGTAAACCGCGATAATAAATTGTGCTAACTTCGTGCGCTACAGAGAAGTAGAAAGAGAGGGAAAGAAGCAATCAAATCGGAGCATCGCAAGGTTAACAGCGATAACGACTTCCACCATACAGTGATAGTGGCGACTTTTACTTTTTTTTTTCGCGCGGCGAACCGATAAAATCTTTTTCCAATTTCTCGCCCAGTTTTCCTCGCTGGGTTTTCTGACATTCGTTTACGGTGTCATTTGCATACCTCCTGAGCCTCTTGCGTCTCCGGAGCAGCCATTTTAAACAGTTTTCAGAAGAAGCACTGCGCGAAAACGACAGGATCGCATAATAACAATAAAAATAATCAAACGCTTGATTATTGAGAAAAATTGCGATTTCACATGATCATAAATACTATTCTTTCATTTTACTTTCTCACGACAAAGCTATATTCTTAATTTTGTTTTTCTAAGATATTACACGGAAATTCAATTTCTACGATATTAAGAAAAGAAACTCGTTCATCGGCCAAGGGGTTCAATAGTAAGGACGATTTCTCACGGGGTCTTTCATTCTAAATCGAGTCTATTTTTTATTCAGCGACTCGGCCAGGGACGAGACACGATCCAGCTAAAATCACAATGTGCAACCTCGGTTCCAGACACGACAATCGCAAGGCGAACGGTATACCGATTGTTCAACGGAGAACGTAGTCTAAAATTTGTGTGTTTATCGATACCGTGCGCGCGAACGTCGATAAACGAATGAAATTGAAAAGGATCGTCGTTATTATCGCTCCGACCGTGAAGTTCGCGAAGACGAATGAGCCTGGGGACCTATGGGAGTCTCTCGACGCCGATGTTGTTTAATCTAATCGCGAAGAAAATTCTCTGCGACGTCGAATTACATTTTCAAGAAGGATCGCCACGCGGTTGCGTCGCAATTTTCGTCGTACGTTCCGCTGGTAACCTAATAACAGATTAATCTTGGACGCCACCGATCTATCAGCATCCGCGTCCCAGCGAGTATCGCTGATCCGAATACGTCACTTCTTTCGCGCGCTTATCGGGCACCATGGACGCCACCAGCTATATAAGACCGCGCGCGAGACCAGCCGACGAGTACAATATCGAGACGTCGAATTTATCCTCGACATGCGTTACTGCGCATTTATAATCGCTCTTTCCGCGGTGGTGGTGGCTTCGACGGTTCTCGTCGAGGCGTACCCGGTGCCCGAAGAACCGCAAAATGGACCGGAAGTGCAGGCGGAAGTCGCGAAACTAGCTGCCGGCTCGAGCGACGAGTCCGATAGTAGCAGCGAGGAAAAAGGGAAAACCAAAAGGGAGACTAGCTTCGTCCAGGCACTGATCGAAGAAGAGGAAGCAGTTCACGAGAGGCACGAACGATCAGTAGAGAACAAGGACGACAGCGACAGTAGTAGCAGCGAGGAAAAGGGAAAAACGAAAAGGGCACTGATCGAAGAAGAAGAAGACGGAGCAGTTCACAAGAGGCACGAACGTTCAGCGAAAAAGAAGGACGACAGTACCAGTAGCAGCAGCAGCAGTAGCAGCAGTAGCAGCAGCAGTAGTAGTAGTTCTTCCAGCGACGATGACGACGACGACAAGAAGAAGAGCAAGAAATGTCAGAAGGATGACGACGACAGCGACGACAGCGATGATGACGACGACGACGACAAGAAGAAGAGCAAGAAATGTCAGAAGGATGATGATGACAGCGACGATAGCGACGATGACGACGATGACGACAAGAAGAAGAGTAAGAAATGCCAAAAGGATGACGACAGTGACGATAGCGACGATAGCGATGACGACAAAAAGTGCAAAACGAAGAAAAAATGTGATGGTAAACGCAAAAAACGGATGATCGGCGCAGACGACGATACTTTGTCGGTCGACGATAGCTTCGGCGATCATTCCTTGCACGAGAACTTGAGATCGGAACAGGAAGATGATGAAGAAGCCAACCATCAGAGTTAAAAAATACGAGGTAAACGCGAAGACAGAAGAATCGTAACGGAGAGTGAAAGAATTACGTGAGAACCATGTTTCCAATTAAGGAGACTCATCGAAAGTTGTAATACGCGTACGTTCTGTTTACGGAGCATTATCTGGACGATAGTGTCAATTGCACCGGAGTTCAAGGCTTGCGAGTTTAGCACATTTGCTCGTTACGAGTTTCGAAGAGCGTTGGCGTCACCTTTCTTCGATACCTTTTGTTTTCTGAAAATTTAATACAGCGGCGACAAACCGAATTCGTTTTTTGGACTGTTTTGTATCTATGTATTTTGCATAGAATTCATCATTTTTGCTTGAGTTTCGAATAATTTTATCTGCAATCATTGTCGCTGCGAGAAGAAACATGGTTAGCACCTGAGGAACACTTTATTTAAGGGATTTAACTGTATGTTATTGCAAACTAGAAATAAACTTAGCTATCATTGTTAATTTATATGTATTTTTCTACAACGGCGTAACCAAATATTTTACATCCCGCGCGCTGAGGAATTTATGGTCGGGCCATTTCTGAGGAAAATTATACCGCTTTTTTAAATTTTTGACAAAAAATTCTGACAAAATACACCCTCAAGAAGAGATAGCACGCGCGTTAATTTCCCAAGTTGTAGTAATTTTATTAATTTAAGAGACAAGGCATGCTAAATTAACTAATTCACACCTAATAACGAAGGAAAATACTCCAATACGTTCAAACTGTAACGTAAATCTCAGTACGAAATATATTATATTCGAATGAAATGATTTTCATCCTAATACAGGAAAACATAAGCGAGGAACTCAATTGTAAACATAATAAAACTTATCAATCTTTTAAAGGGCATTATATAATATAATCTAAAATAAAAATACGTAGGTTATCGATAGCCAGTCGTGATCTTGGCTGTTAACGTTAAATAAAACAAAACGAAAATAAGGTGCGAATGTTGCTTTCGGTGAAATAATCGTGCAATCAAAAAATCGTATAGTGCGATGGGTTTACGATACTGTTCCTCCCGGTTGGAATCACAATAAATGCCCCTTGTAAAAATGGCGATGTACATACCCGTTTGGTGCACGCGGTGCGTTCTCCTTTCTCCTCGCGGTGAACGTCGCGATCGTGTTCTTCGCGTTTATGTCGCTGTCGACGACCCAGTCCGGGTTGCTGGACGAGGCCTCCAGGATCTTCACGCCGGACTTCATCCTCGCCCTGAAACACGCGCGTGTCCCCGCGATTAATCGTAATATTCACGGGGAGAATCAATCGGCCGTTCGTACAAATATTTCGTTCGACAACAAGCCGGCAGGTTTGTCGAGCGCCGTTAAATCCCACGCTCGAACGGCTCATAAATCGGGGACGTTACATTATTCAGAAACCGCGGGTGACGTCACGAAACGAGCGAATCCGATTAGTCCGGGGCACAATGCGAACCCGAACAGCGAGTTTCGACGGGCAAACACGACCGACAACGAAAATACACCGAGCAACGAGCGTTCCCGTCGAAATTCTCGCGGACCAAAAAAAGAAAAAAGAAAAAAGGGACGGTAACAACTTTATCTGACCAGACGCGGACCGGAAGGCACGAAACGACGAAAAAGAATGGCAAACTTCCGCGAAAAGACGAGAGGTGCCGGGGAGGGACGTTGTAAGCGAGTTCAAGGATGAGATAATTCCACGGCGTTTACTTTTTTCTTTTTTTTTTCGTCCAATAACCGGAGGGGGGGACGATTTCGCGCCGGTCGGCAATTATCGGCTCGCAGCTGCCAGCTGCATCGGCAATTAACCGTTCGCCAATTCCATCCGGAGCTGACGGAACGGAAAATCTGGATGCCAGTTGCGTTATTTCCCGCGGTTAACGCCGAAACGTGCCGCGACGATAAGTTCTCCGTGCGGGTAAAGAGCCATGATAATTTTATGACAGAACCGTAACGACTTCCCGTGTAATAATTTGTACGACTGTCGTCGATACGACTGTTCGAACGATTATTGTAAAGTGCGTGGGGTTGTTGTGCAACTTGTGCACCGTGGTCGTATCGTACGGCTCTACGACGTCGCCGTAAAATCTTGCGTACTGAAAATTTGATGAACGACAGATTGAAACGTGCAGACAAACTATCGTTAAACGGAACGTACTTGCATAAATTTTGTACTCCTTTTCTTAACAATGCAGAGCTTTGTACAAATACAATTCATAACTATTCGGCCGTAAAAATTAATGGAATTTGCCCTCTACAATATTCTGTCGATTTTCCAAAATGTATTTGGTTTAAAGAATTCAATTGAAAGATATTTTTATTTGATAAAATCGAAACACGTTTTGTTCTTTGACGAATAATAGAAATTATACCCAGGGAGTTTGTAGAGTAACGATATTGATAAATAAAGAATTTATACAAAATTCAATGAGGAACCTTGTACTGTACACGAGTTTTCTGCAATGATCTCTTGAACGTACAGTCAACGTCGTCGGAGATAAAAACGTACGACAAGTCGGAATAATTATCGTCGTATCACGCCTAAGCGGGACGACAACGTTACGACATCGTCGGATGTTGGCCGCGAGCTTGGACATTAGATACTTTGACAGGAGACGTTTCGGTTTCGCGAATAATGCGCGCATTCAGCCACCGGGATTCCAATCCGACTTCTTCAATTACTTCAAGCCCTTCCCTAAAGGCTCAACTCCTTGGAACAATGCGAACGGTCGCACGCTCGTTAACTTTTCCAGCCCTACGGTTCTTTCAATTATCCCAGACCGGCTGCAAACGAAGCGTCACCTTCGTACGAATGTATTGGATTTCCGTTCGATCGCGTCGCCGCGAGCAACAACTCTCTAAAGTAACGCCAAGTAGCCGCCATTTCGTCGTAAAACGAGCGCGTCTAATTGAAATATTACTACTTTCGAAGCCCCAAAATTTCAATACTAAATTCACGTATTTTTATCGAAACCCTTCGTGTTGACGGTTACATTAAAATTAAAACAAAATTTGTTTTATTTATTATTATTCTTTCTTGTATTTTAACAAGCAGAAGAAAAATCGATATTATAGCGATTACAAAACAATTTCTTACATTGTATCCGTATATTTTGTCATGGTACGAAAGTTAGGCGGAAATGTCGCTAAATTTTTCGATTCGATCTGAGGGTAGGAACTCGTGAGAATCGTAGGAGAACAGAAAAGGAAGGGGTCCGGGCCTGATAGTGGATCCATCACTAAGGCTTTCTAGCAGCAGTGATGGACATTCGTGGGAATTATAGACATGCGCACTAGAATTTTCCCTCGTGGGATTCCTTTTTGCGCATGCGTTAGCTTTCTGCCATAGATGTATCTTTAGCGCAAAAAGAAGTGCATGTTGGGAATTCCCATGTTTTGTACAAAATTGAACTTTCTACTTCGAATGCTCGCCAATCACACAAAAATTAACTTATCGAAGTTCCCCAAAGTATTTCTCTAGCTATATTCATGTAGATTAAAAGGAAATTTTTTGTTTTTGTCTCTTTCCCTGTAACTTCCTTAAAATTTTGTTCCTTACTGGGATCCAACGGTACCCTAAATTCTAATTAAAGTGTGTATACGGCAATGATCATGTGCTCCAGTGCGCATGACCAAAATTCCCACGAATGTTCATCACTGTCTAGCAGGCCCTGCCTTAGACGACTTAGATATTGGGAAGTCGTTCGAGGAATGTATACAGGGTGTTCGGCCACCCTTGGGAAAAATTTTAATGGGAGATTCTAGGGGCCAAAATAAGATGAAAATGAAGAATATCAATTTCTTGACTGTGGCTTTGTTAAAAAGTTATTAACAATTAAATTAAAAAATTTGTCAAATCGTTCTGGAAAAATTATTTCTGGTTACGCGGGTCAATTACAACCATTTTTGGTGAACAGACATATCCCCGAAATCCTGCGCATTTTTGAGACAAAAATTCTTTAAGGTGTGTTCGACGGAAAAAAATAATTTTAAATCGTTCTGGAAAAATTATTTTCAGTTACGGGTGTCAATTCCAATCATTTTTGGTGAATAGACATATTCCCGAAATGCTGCGCATTTTCGAGAAAAAAATTCTTGAAGCTGTGTTCGACGGAAAAAAAAAATTTCAAATCGTTCCCGAAAAATTATTTTCGGTTACGGGGGTAAATTACATTCCTTTTTGGTGAATAGACACATCCCCGAAATCTTGCGCATTTTTTGAGAAAAAAATTCCTTACCGAAAATCTAATGTGAGGCCAGAAATGCTTCCCTGTAATTTCATGCGTATCTTTGAAATGTCATAACTTTCTGAATGGATTGGAAGAATATGTGAAAATTCCAAAAATATTCGAAAAGTTATTCTTTGACTCCGCAAAATAAGAAAAACCCCATAAAAATGGTCCAATTTTCAAATGTTTATAACGCCTACAATAGCGAAGATATTTCATTGAAACTTTTTTCTGAAGTAAAGCCCATGGGTACCTACGAAAAAGTATTAGACAACTTTTCTGTAGGGGGTCAAACAGAATGATTAAAAACCAAAAATGAATTTTTAAGAAAAATCGACAGGGGGTAGGTGACTAAATTTTACGACGAAAAAGAAATTTCAAATCGTTCTGGAAAAATTATTTTCAGTTGCGGGGATAAATTACAATCATTTTTGGTGAATAGACATATCCCCGAAATCCTGCGCATTTTCGAGAAAAAAATTCAGTATGGGTGGAACTTTAAACGTTAATAACTTTTTAACGAAACCTCCATGAACAAATTAGTATTCTTGATTTTCGTCGTATTTTGGCCTCTAGAATACCCCATTAAAATTTTTCCCAGGGGTGGCCGAACACCCTGTATAGTTCATCGACTTAGCACAGCATGACCTTGAAGTACTAACATATCCTTATAAAATACAAGGTTGTAAATTAAATTTCAGCACTATGATACATGACGCTGTTAGTTTGGAAACTATTTAAATTTCCTTTCTTTTAGCAACTGTTAAAGTGTTTTGTTAAGATCGTCTGATGTACTATACGTACATGATGTTTAGAAAATAGAGCTCTCACGAGTAGAAATTCGGCAACTATTGTGCAATGAGTTTTTAAAAGGTATAAAGGTTCAAAAAGCCGCCAAAAAGTTGTATAGCAACTGAGGGGTCGGTCGAGCGCTTGTGAGAGCGCGATCCCTCTGGTGGCGAGCATAGGAAGCGACACCACAGATCCTACCAGCCCTGACCAGCCAATATTTTTGAATCTCTGTCACTGACGCACCCACGGCGTAGAACAGTTTCAGCGATTTGTTCTGTTGTACTTACATGTGCAATAACCGTGCCCTTTCTCGTGCTCTCGTGCACGCACCCACGCCGAATAGCACCGGGGATCGTTTATGCCAGCGCGCTCGCGCGCTATACCCACTTCGATTACAAAGTACCGGATTGAAAATTGAATTTCCACGAGCACGGTGAAATATAGGCACCGAGGGTGGTCGTTCACGAGCCTCGGCCTCGCTCCCAGACAAATCGTCGCTTCCAACGGAGGCTTACGCCGCTCTTTTCATCCCTTTGCGCCGCGAAAACGTTTTTTTCCGCGCCAACGTCGACGATCCACTCGACGGGAGCGCTCGTCGTTACGCCCGGCGGAAAATTTACGCGTGTTCGTGTTTACACTCGAAACATACACTGCCGTTTAAAAGTTTGGAGCACCCTTCGTTCTTTAGAGAAACGCAGCTTTTTTTTCTGTACATATAATCACGTTTTATCGAAAATTTCACTTATTCGTTTTTAACAGATATTACACGGGTACAGTTTAAGATTAAATTTGTAATTCTATCGTAAACGTTCCTTCGAAAATCATGGGGACTACGAAATCTCTTTTTCGAAGAAATACAAGCTAGTAACTCTGTTACTGTTCTTTTTAATACCTAGAATAAAAGAAATTATCATAAAAGTTTAAAATGAACGATAATGAAATTAAAATGGCATAATAATAATTCGTAAATAGTAAAATAAAAATTGCAAAATATCGTGTAAACTACGTTTCATTGGAATTAAAATTATGTTTATTAGGAATCTTTTCTGTTATTGAAATCTCTACTATATTAAAAGACCTTTACACAATAAGTATCTCCGTTTTAGCTTATCTAGCAGATTCTGCCTTATGATGTAATTAATCGTTCCAACAATCTGTTCAAACTAATTGTCTGCTAATAAAATACCTATTAATTGGAAAGTGTTCTAACGAT